GCCTGTATCAGATGCACCTTAGTCTCCAGAGAGACACCATTGCTCTTCAGTACTTTGGAGAGGTCCCTAACAGCAGACTTTCCTATGGCAGTGCGCCTTTTAATTTCCTGGCTGCTGGTTCTTAATGAATTTAGTGCTCAGAAATATGGTAATTTTCACTTTAGACTCCTAATAAGAGACATTTTCTCACAAAAGATACTATCTTTTTCTAATTTTGTTCCTTACCTAATTTTTGTTTTGGTTTTTTTTTCTCTCTCCCTCCCTTCTGAAATACTAGATTTCTACTTAAGGTGGGGGGTTTTATTTTCTTTATTTGGTTTTAATGGGTTCTGTGGTTTTGGTTTGTTTTTTTCAAAAGCAAGACATCAGTTTAGAACTTTTCAAAATTGCTTCTCCTTTCATAGACAGAGATGTTAATGTGATTCACGTGAAGAGCACGGACTCTAGAATCTCACTACTTGGATTTGGACCCTGTGTCTCTCGCGTAGCAGCAAGTTACTTCTGTTTCAGGGCCTCTGTGTTCTATTCTGGTTAGCAGTGAAGTACATATACACTGGAAATTATGCCACCAGAACTCCTCTTCAGTGCTCTCATTTGAACAGTAGGAAAAAATGGACTTTAAAAGTCTGCATAACCACATCTACTATTTAGCATCTTCTAGTAGTAATGTGAGGCTGATTCAGACCATGGTCTTTTCAACCACTTGCTGTGCATCTGAGATCTGAACAATGAATAAAGGTGACGAAGAAAATTCAATGCCTTTGAGTTGTGGTGCTGGAGGATAGATAGTACTGGCTATGCCATGGACTTCCAAAAGAACCAACAGATGTATCTTGGAGAAAGCGAAGCTCGAGTGCCCCTTAGAAGCAAGGATGGTGAAGCTTAGTCCTTGGAGAAGGCGAAGGACATCATGCTTGGAAAGGTGGGGGGACAGCGAAGGACAGGAAGACCTTCACCCAGGTGGAGTGACACAGTGACTGCAGCAGTGGGCTCAGGTGTGTGAAGATTTTGAGCTTGACACAGGATAGGACAGGGTTCAGATCCATTGTTTACAGGGTCACTGGGAGTTGTACTCAGCGACACCTAATAAGAATCATTTCTTTATCTGGATTTAAATGAAATCTATGCTCTTCTTTTGCTACCTTCACTTCGTTTTATTTCATGCAAATCTTTGTTGGCCCCCTTTTCACTCTCGCTCTTTTTCCAGGCCCTTGGGATGCTGTTTTGGCATAAACATAATATTGAAAAATCATTGGCTGATTTGCCCAACTTTACCCCCTTCCCAGATGAGTGGACGGTGGAAGATAAAGTCTTGTTTGAACAAGCTTTTAGTTTTCATGGGAAAACTTTTCATAGAATCCAACAAATGGTAAGTACCTTGCACCATTATTCCCCTTTCCTGAGTCCAGCCTCTTCCCCTCCAGCCCACCTTTAAGATGGGGACAGCATCCTCAGCCATGAGCCTTCCCATTTAATAAAGAAAAAGCAGCTCATTTTAGAAAGAAAGCTGTCTGGTGGACTCCTCCCAGCAAAGCTTTTGTTTGACATTTGCATAAAGTGCTAAAATGGTTTTCATGTTTTTAATAAGACAGATTACAAACTTCTGTAATTTAAAAACTGTATTCATGATGATTATTATGCTAGATTTTTCCTTATTTGAAAAAATGGCTGTGACTTCTTTCTGAAGATGTGAGGGACCTTTAGTAAATGTATCTACACATACTTGATTTTAAAGACTAGTCATAAATCTAACTTGCTTATTGTTTTGTTTTGTTTTTTAAAAATAATTTAGCTTCCTGACAAATCTATTGCAAGTCTAGTGAAATTTTACTACTCCTGGAAGAAGACAAGGACTAAAACCAGTGTGATGGATCGCCACGCTCGGAAACAAAAACGGGAGCGAGAGGAAAGGTTGGTGTAAGGCTGCGGGTGTTGGCTCTTCAAATCGTTGTTGTTGTTGTTGTTAGGCACTGTAGAGTCATGTGTGACTAATAGTGACTCAGTGAACAACAGGTCTGAACCCTGTTCCATCCTGTACCATCCTCACACTTTCTGACAGGCTAGAGCCCATTGCACAATCACCATGTCAGTCCACCTGGTTGAGGTTCTTCCTCTCCTTCACTGGCCCTCTGCTTTTCCAAACATCAGGTCCCTTTCCTGGGATTAGTCTCTCCTAGCAACATGCATGAGGCATATAAAACAAAGCTTTTACTCCAAGGAGCACTCTAGCTGTATTTTTTCCAAGGCTTCCCATGTATTCTTTTGGCAGTCCATGGGATATTCTGTACTCTTCTCCAATACCACAGCTCAAAGGCATCAATTCTTCTCTCATCCTTATTCATTGTCCCTCTCTCAGATGCGTAGCAAGTAATTGGAAGGACTGCGGCCTAAATCAGAGGCACCTTAGTCCTCAAACTGACATGACTGCTCCTCAATAATTTGGAGAGGTCCCTAATCACACACTTGCCCAGTGCAATATGTCTCCTGATTTCCTTACTCCTGGTACCAAGTTTATTGATTGTGGATCCAAGAAGATGAGCTTATTGATTGTTTCAGTCATTTCTCCTTCTGTCATGATGTTGCTTATCAGTTTAGTGGTTGTTATTGTTGTTGAATGCTGTTGAGTCGCTTGTGACTCGTAACGACCCTGTAAACAGTAGCCTGAAACCACTTCTTCCTGTGCCAGCTTTACTGTCTCTAATACACCTACCTCCATTACCCCAGTCATTAAACCAATCCATCTCATCAATGATCTTCCTCTCTTTCTCTGTCCCTCCACCCTTCCAAGCATGACACCTCTCTCCAAGGACTGGTTCCTCCTTGCAGCATGTCCAAAGTATGTCAGACAAGGCCTCAGAATCCTTGCCTTCAAGGAGCAGCTTGGTTCCACCCTTTCTAGGATGAGCCTATTTCTTCTCCTAGCAGTCCATTGTGTATTCAACACTCCTCAAGCACCGCAGCTCAAAGACATCAATTCTCTTTCTATCGTCCCTAGTCATTGTCCAGCTCATTGTCCCAGTCATTGACACATAACAAGCAATTGCAAAGACTATGGCCTGGATCGGTGCACCTTAGTCTCTAAACTAATGTCAATACTCTTCAGTACTCTGGATAGGTCCCTGACAGCCAACTTTCCCAGTGCCGTTCGTCTCTTGATTTCTTGGCTGCTGCTACCAAGAGTGTTGATTGTGGAGCAAACTGTTAGCAATCTCAGTCTCTTTACCATCTATCATGATGCCGTCACTTGGCCCAGTGGTAAGAATCGTAGTTTTCTTGATGTTGAGCTTCAATCCATATTTAAGGCTACAGCCCTTGACTTTCTGCAGCAAGCACTTCATTTTAGAGGTAAGAATTTTCATTTTCTAGACATTGAGATGCAATCCATATTGAAGGCTGTGTTCTTTGATCTTCTTCAAAAAGTGCTTCAAGTCCTCATTTTGAGCAAGTAATCGGTTGCATCATCTACATAACACAGATTATTGACGAGTGTTCCTCCGATATTGATGCTGCATTGTCCTTAACACAGCTTCTCAAATAATTTGCCCAGAATACATACTGAATAAGCATGGAAAGAGCATACAACAACTCTGATGCACTGCCTTCTTAATTGTAAACCATGTAATGTTCCCTTTCTCTGTTTGTACAACAACCTCTTGTTCTATGTATAGGTTTTGTATGAGCACAATTAAGTGCTTTGAGATTCCCATTCTTGAGGATATTATTCACAAAGAGATCAAAGGGTCATTTCAAAGACAGAGGAGCAAGAAAAAAACCTGAATGGATGTCAGAAGAGACTAAAAATTACATTAGATGCCAAAACAAAGGGCAAACGTGCTGGAGAGAGAGAGAGAGAAGTATTATAATGGAATGTGCAGACAGCTGAAATTGGAGAATAAAAAGGGAAGAACTTGTCCTGCATTTCTTCAGCTGAAAGAACTGAAAAACAAATTTAAGCCTCAATCACAATATTGAAAGGTACTATGGGCAATATGTTGAATGACCCAGGGGAGCATCAAAGGAAGATGGAAGGGAATACACCAGGTAACTGTACCAAAAAGAACTGACTGACACAGAAACATTTCAGGAAGTATTACAGGAGCAGGAACAAGTGGTGATGAAGGAGGAAGCTGAAGCTGCATTGAAGGAATGGGGGAAAAATAAGGCCCCAGGAATTGAGAGGATACAGATTGACTTGTTTCACTTAACAGATGCAGCCCTGAATGTCCTCGCCACTCTATGCCAGGAAATTTGGAGTATAGCTGTCTGGCTGATAGATTGGAAGAGGTCCATATTTGTTTTCCATTCCCAAGAAAGGTGATCCAACCAAATGTAGAAACTTTCAAACAATATCATTAATAGCACGTGCAAGCAAAATACTGCTGAAGATCATTCAAAAACGGCTAGAACAGTAGAGAAGTACGCAAAGTTCAAACAGGATTTAGAAGAGGCTATGCCAGCAGGAATTCCACATTGATGAGACATCAGAATTCCTAGGAATAGTGAATTAGTAAGCTGTTTCCCATGAATTTTCTGGTGGAACTGACATTTACAGAAATACATTCAAGACAGGAATTAGAGCTCTGTGTTCATGATCTGTGTTGAATTCTTCAGATGCTTTTTCTTACAACACTACCGGCATTCAAGAAAGTATGTCTTTTGGGGTTGGGGGTTCTTAATCAGAGTCACACAATTTGTTGGGTGGAGGGAGGGGTGGGTAAAGGAAATGGGAAAGATCTGGTGTGAGTAACAATGTGTGTGAACTTTGTAAGTAAACCAGTGTAAAATGAAAATTTTATTTTAAAAAATTTTAAAAATGAAAGTATGTCTTTTTAAAATAAAAAGACAAAACCAAACCCACTGCTTGCAGCTCATTGCTAACTCATGATGGCCCTCCATCGAGTTTTCTAGGGTGTAGATCTTGGCCAGGGCAGAGTCCCTGCCTCCCCCTTCTCCCTCTCAGAGGCCGGGCAGTTGAACCACCTACGTTTTGGCTAGCAGCCCCACTGTATTTGGGGTTTTATTTGTTGTTCTTTTTCATACACCAAATGTAAAACAAATTTCAACTTGGAAAATTATAGATATTATTTTTATTTTCCTAACAAGAGTTGGACAATGACTAGGGAGGCTAGAAGGAGAATTAACGCCTTTGAGCTGTGATGCTGGAGAAGAGTATTGAATGTACCATGGACTGCCAAGAAAACAAACAGATTCATCCTAGAGAGGGTTAAACCAGGCTACTCCTTGGAGGCAAGGATTCTGGGGCTTCGTCTGACATACTTTGGACATGTTGTAAGGAGAGACAGGTCCCTGGAGAGGGACATCATGCTGGGTAGAGTGGAGGGACAGCGCAGGAGGTGAAGACCCTCTATGAGGTGGATTGATTCAGTGACTGGGGTACTCGGGATGGGTGTGTCAGAGACAGTGCGATTGGCACAGGACAGAGCAGAGTTTAGGGATGTTGTACATAGGGTCGCTATGAGTCGCAAAGGACTCGACGGCACATAACAACAACAACAACTTGAAATTATTTGGTATGTTTATATGATACTTATTCAGCATGTTTTATGTTACGTAGCAAGCAACCAAAAATCCCAGTAAGAATTTGAATTTGTGTGTGTGATAGAGAGTTCTTTAATAAGAACTCTATAAAGAACTTCTGTAATTCTTTAATAAGTATGTTTTATCATCTTTGCGGAGGGCTGAGGGAGTTGTATGGCATGGAGTAGTGAGGACGGTGTGTATAGTACAGTGGAATACGTGTAATACTGAAGGTTCTACTTAAATGTTCACAGGCAGGTTAACATAACACTAGCCTTATGCCCTGGTCTCCGTTTTCTCAACTCTGCTTGAAATCTACAAGGGAGTACACAAACACATGGCTTTTGTGTTAGAGTGGTGGGAAAGTAGGGCTTTAAAAAATGATATTTTCTACATTTTTCTACAATAGATGTTTTTCTAAATTACTAATATAAGTAAAATGAAAGCGAATGAACTCAGAGACAATCTCAAGGACCCTTTTCAGGACATTTTTTTATTATTTCAAATGAAAGATAATAACATATAAGGACATATGAGAGAATTCAAATCTCTGGACCCAAGATTAAAATGAGAATGGTCCTGAGACGTCTCTAGAGTACTTTCTGACATTAAAATTCTACATTACTTGTTTTTTTTTTGGTCTGAAGCTTGCCTCCTATGGGGTATATTTATGAATCTGTACTCTTCAAGCTTAAGTTGAAGAAAATTAAAACAAGTCCACAAGAACCAAAATACAACCTTGAACTTTAAACCACCTCAAGAATAGATTTTAGGGGCGGGTGGGGAATAGAATGCATTGAACACTAATGACCAAGGAACAGATGAGTTGTGGGATGAAATCAAAGATATCATCCATGAAGAAAGCAAAAGGTCATTTATTACAAAGATAGAGAAGAGGAAAAAAGACAGCAAAATGGATGTCTGAAGGGACCCTGAAAATTGCACTAGAACGTAGAGAGACCAATAAAAAAGGAAGAAAGACTGAGAGATTAAAGAGATTTCAAATGGTAGCTTGAGAAGATAAAGCAAAATATTATCAATTATGCAAAGAACCGGAGTTAGAAAACCAAAAGGATGAACATGTTCAGGCTTTCTCAGTCTGAAAGAACTGAGGAACAAAAGCAAGTCTTGAGTTGTAATAACAGATGATTCTATGGGCAAAATCTTGAATGATCTAGAAAGTATCACAAGAAGATCTGAGCAATATACACAGCCACGACACCAGAAAGAATTGTTTGCCACCAAACAGTTTCCGAAAGTAGTTTGTGATTAAGAACCAGTGGTTAAAAAAGAAGTTCACGCTGTCCTGAAATTACTGAGAAACAGTACGTTTCCAGGAATTGATGGAATACCAGGTGAGGTGGTGATAGCCAATTCCAGGAAAACCTGGCCAGCTGACTTGAAGAGATCCATATTTGTTCCAGTCCAGAAACAGGTGATCCAACACAGTGAGATATTACCAAAGATAATTAACATCACATGCACATAAAATCTTGCTAAAAATTATTCAAAAACAGCTGGAACAGTACATGGACAGGGTACCACAAGTTCAACCTAGACTCACAGGAGGCCATGGAATAAGAAATATTATTGCTGATGTCATATGGACCTTGGCTCAAAGCAGAGAAGAGCAGAAAGATTTTTTTTTATATATATACAAAGGCAATTGACTGTGTGGATTATAACAAATTATGGCTAACATCGAGAAGAATGGGAATCCCAGAACACGTAATTGTGCTGATGGGAAACCTAGACCTAGACCAAGAAGCTGTTATCCAAACAAAAGATGGAACACGGCATAGTTTAAAATAGGAAAAGTGTGCTGCAGAGTAAGGGGTTCTGGTTTTGCATTGCTAACCCAAAGATACAGGTTTTGAATCCACCAGCTGCACTCTGGGTGAAAGATGGTCAATCTCTTCCAGTGCATTTTACAATCTCTGAAAACCCCAGTGAAGGGTCATTTCTAACTCAATGTTACTGAACAACAACGTACGTCAAGGTTGTATCTTTTCTCCATGTCTGTTCAATCTCTAATCTGACCTGGACTTAATGAAGAAGAATATAGCATCAACAACCTGAATCATGGAGATGAGACAACTTTATTTGCAGAAGTGATGAAGGTGTGACATAATTACTGTAGAAGATAAAAGACTTCAACATCAAGAAAACAAAAATCCTCACCAGTGGGCCAATAGGCAATATCATGATAGATGGAGAAAAGACAGAAGTTGTCGAGGATTTACTTGATCCCACTATCAACACTCATGATAGCAGTAGTCAGGAAATCAGAAGACATGTCACTTTGGGAAAATCTGTCGGGGGTCTCTCCAAAATGCTAAAGATCAGAGACTTAAGTTGAAAGTAGATCTGGTCTTTTCAGTTGCTTTCTGTATCTCTGAAAGTTGGACAGTGAATAAAGATGGCAGAAGAATTGATGCCCATGAATGGTGGTGGTGTAAGGTGCTGTCGAGTTATGTACGACTCACAGTGACCCTACAAACAAAAGATATGAACCCTGTTCTATCCTGTGCCATCCTCACACTTCCTGTCACACAAGAGCCCATTGTGGCAGTCAACATGTCAGTCCACTTGGTTGAGGGTCTTCCTCTCCTTTGCCGACGCTCCCCCCTTTCTGACATCATATCCCTCTCCAAGGAGTACTCCTAGCACCTTGCCCAAAGTTTGTGAGAAGAAGTCTCCTCATTCTTGTCTCCAAAGATCACTTCAGCTGTACCCTCTCCAGGACATACTTGTTTGTTCTTTTTGCTATCAGTGGAATGTTCAGTGCTCTTCTCAAACACCACAGTTCAAGGTATCAGTTCTTCTGTCATTCTTATTCATTGCCCAGCTCTCAGATGCGTAGCAAGTGATCAGAAAGACTGTGGCTTGAATCAGGTATACCTTTGTCCTCAAACTGACATCATCACTCCACAGTAATTTGTAGAGGTCCCTAACTGCAGATTTTCCCAGTGCGATGTGTCGTCTTATTTCCTGACTGCTAGTACAAGGGAGGTTAATCGAGGATCCAAGTAAGATGAAGTTGACAATTTTTAGTCTCCTCCATCCATCATGATGTTGCTTATCATCCAGTGGTAATAATCTTTGCTTTCTTGACATTGAGATTCAATTCATACCGAAGACTCTATTCCTTGATTTTCTACAAGTGGTTGAAACCCTCCTCACTTTCAGTGAGCAAAATAGTGTCATCTGCATCACGTAGTTTATTGATGAGTCTCCCTCCAGTCCTGATGCCACATTCCTCCTCATAAGAGTCCACTTTCTCGCATAAATTACTCAGCATACAGATTGAATAGGTATGGAGAGAGAATACAACCCTAACACACTCCCTTCTTAATTCTAAACCGTGCGGTGTTCCCCTGCTGTGCTCACACAGCAGCCTCCTGGTCCAGGTATAAGTTTCTCAGGAGCACGATTGTTGGAGAGAGTGGTGACTGCCAAGAGAGCAAACAAGTCTGTCTGAGAGGAAGTTCAGCCATTCTCTCTACAGGCAAAGAGGATAAAATGTGGTCACACATACTTTGGATGTGTTGACAAGATGATCCAGTCATTGGGAAAAAATACATCATATTGGGGTATGTTGACGGGTCAAAGAAAAATAGAAAGCCCCTCAGTAAGATGGATTGACACAAATGAAAGGAAACTCTGTGTATGAATGATTGTATGCAAACCAGTTCTTAAAGAAAGATAGATTGGTACAATGAGTGGAAGAGCTACTCTGCATAACCAAGGGAAGAGGAGGTCACTGTGGCATTTGTTTTAATGCTGCAGCAAATTTGGATTCCTTTTTTATTCTATTTTATATTATTATTTGGGCCTATTACTAAATAGAGGTACAATTTACCAGGTTACTCCAAGTTTGTTGTTGTTGCTGATTGCCATTGAGTTGAGCACGACTCATAGCGACCCTATGAACAAAAGACCTGAAGCTTTTCTACTAATTATCATTGTGTAAATATTGAATATTTAAATGAGGGAATAGATTGGGATTTGTTAGCACTGACTATGAAGTCATGAGTGAAGGCTGGCACACCTCTTTTCTTGCTACTCCAGCTGCTTGTCTTTGCATTATGACCGGTAGGAGTGAGCGCTGCCCCTTGGACCTCCTCCATCGTCAAAATGCAGACAGAAAGGGCCCCAGGCGGTTGTTGTCCATGAAAGTGATGGCTGGAGACAAAGTTGTCTCTACTTCTGACTCTTGGTCTGCATGGATATTCTATAAAATGGAACATCCTAGCACCTTGACAGAGGAACGGGATAGTGTGTAAAGTCAAACCCAGCACCTAGACTAAATTTTGATGATAAAGTGTGTGTATGTGTGTGTGAGAGAGAATGTGTGCATTCAATGACCACTTCTACTTTCATTTTATTTGAGACTTGTTTTGAGTAATTGGATGCCTATTTTAATGTTTTTAAAACCATTTTAGGCAAAAAGGACTATTGATTGTTATTACTTAATCTGAGTCGGAGGGAAAAAGAAACCATTTTAACCCAGCAGTCTGAATACATACAGGTTTCCTGATTAATCTGAAGTGTTCTGTAAAACCTCTCTAAGCCTAAATTGTGTAAAATGAAGAAGTAGCTGCCATTCATAGGCAGAAAGTTTTTATGTGTTCCTCAATCCCAAAATAGCCTACTAAATCTTAACAAGTAGCACATAAAACCTAAAGGACCTCAACATAGGATGTTCACAGAGAGTTCGGAGCTCTGGCAGCTTTGACCCTGAATGTAATTCCTGGAGAAGGAGTTTGGCACACGGCTGCTCAGAGCCCATGCTCCTTGTCCACGACTCGCTGCAGAACAAACGCTCAGTGCTGGCTTCACTTTTCACCATCTTTCATAAAATTTCTTTCCAACTACAGAAGCAGGTAGCATTGTAGGTCTTTTATAAAAGTGAAAGGGCGTAAAGAAAGCTTTTCTTGAAAGATAGGTTATACCTCTTTGGTTTTTATATTACATCTGCTTTTTAAATTGATCTAATGCTGCTGTTTTTATATTAAATATTAGTAATAAAAAATGATCTTTCAGTAACTTGTTCTTGTCTTCCAGTGAGGATGAACTGGAAGAAACAAATGGAAATAATCCCCTTGACATTGAGGTTGATCAAAACAAGGAGAGCAAAAAGGAGGTATTTTTTTTTCTGTATTTTTTAGATGAATAAATGTTTCTGTTAGCACCATAAATAAAGCAGTCCTCTTAGTCGTTGTACTTCGTATATTAAGTTCTGTGTACAGGAATTGTGGTGAATCTTTTTAAATAATACTGGCCAGCTTTCCTTAGGACCCCTTGGGTGGTGGAAGTGATTAGCACACTACGTAGCAGGTGTCATTCCAGCCCACCCAATGGTGCCTCAGAGGTCTGAGCATTCTGTTCCCAAAAAAAGACAGTCATTGAAAATCTTGTGAGTCAGAGAGTCAGAGTTCCACTCTGACTGTCCTCGAGTCACCAGGAGTCAGCATTGACTCAGCAACAACTGGACAAACGTTGCTTTATAGAACTTAGAATTCTGTTTGCCAAGAGTGGTTAGTAGTAATGGAAGCCTTCCAGGACAAAACAGCTTGAATGGCAGTAAGTGAAAAGGTTGCCTGGGTGGGCAGCGGTGCGAACTAAGCCGTTAGTTAGCTCAGTAGGTTAGAGTGGTGCCAGCAAGACCACGCTACAGGTAACCTCCACACGAACTAGCCCATCTATGGAGTTCACCTCTCGCGCATGTAGTGGGTGTACCCTGAGGGTCAGGAAATGACTCAAGGCTGGCAGGTTTGGTGCAGGCCTTTCATTCCCCACAAACAACAGGAAGTTCATACGAGAACCAGGACCATCTCCTCAGTGACATCGAGTCGCATCCGACTGGCACCATCCCATAATTAGTTAATACTATATAGATTTTTGTTGTCCTTCACTTTTGCTGTTATTAACAATACTGAAATGATATAATAACCAAATAGCTTTACATTTTTCCATTAGAATTAATTTTGAGAGGTTGGATAGTTGGATCAAATTGTCTATATACATTCTAAATCTTCTTTTGATATGTACCAAATTGGAGACTGGTAACTCTTTCTGAATGACTCTCTTGCTGGTGGTCATTGTTTCTTTTTAGTTGCTGCTCAGTCAGTTCCAGCCTAGAGTGTGACCTTCCTTGTGTACTTCTGTATAATAACATAACTTATTGCCTAGTCTTGTACCCTCTACGTGATTCTTGGTCACTTTCATCCTTGATGTGAGCTCACTGTGGCTGCTCTATCAGTCTGTCTGAATAAGAGCAAACATGATGTCATTTTCTAGCAATTGGTCTTTCTTGATAATGTGTCCACAATGATACCGGCAAGACTTCAGCTCCTTTACTGTGGAGTGATTTTACTGCTCCTTTAAACTATGGTTCCTTGATGACTGTATTGCTGAATATTGCCTACCGATCCAAGCAAAATGAAGTTCCTGACCATCTCAGGATTTCTTTCCATTTACCCTCTTTCTGATGGTCTAGTTGTGAGGGTTTTCCTTTTCTTCAGGTTTAGGCATAAATCTGTGCCCAAGGCTGTTGTCTTCAGCTTTCATCAGCAAATGCTTCACATGATCCTCATTTTTGGCAAGCTAAGTTGTCTTCTGCATCATGCAGGTTGTTGATGAGTCTTCCTACTTTAGTCTTGAGCCTGTATACGTCATGTAGTTTGTTTCTCAGATTATCTACTCAACATATAGATTAAATCAATTGCAAGAGAATACAGCCTCACCACACATCTCTTTCTGTTTTAAACCATACAGTGTCCTCTTGTTTTGTTTCAAAGACTGACCCTTGATCTATGTACAGATTCCACATGAGGACAGTTAGGATTTCTGTAATTTGTTCTGATTCACACAGTTGAATGAATGACTTCAGGTAACTGGTAAAATAAAGGTGAGCATCTTTCTAGTGTTGTCTATTTTGAGCTTAGAGCCTCCTGACACTAGCAGTAACCCTTACCCTGTATTCTCTGCTGATTCAGTTGAGACCTTGATGTAAGGCTGAGTTTTCAGAATTTTTATTATGTATAATAATATTGTTTGGTACTGTATGCATTGCATTTGATCATTTTTCTTTGGAGTGGTAGCAAGTATAGATCTTTTCCAGTTGGCTAACCAGGTAGCTAGCTATCTTCCAGATTTTCTGACATGGACAAGTTTGTTGAATTACTTCGATTTGCATGTTCTGTCAGTTCTTGGAGGCTTGTTTTTGCCAGGGCCTTTACTGAAGCTAGAACATTTTCTCTCCACACCAGTGGTTCTTGATCATATGCTGCCTCCTGAAATGGTTTCGTATTCACCAGTTCTTTTTGGTACAGTGTCTTATAAATTATTTTTTTTTACCATCATTACTTTTTTACCATAGAATCCTTCCTAATGCAACTTTGGTTTTGACTTTTCTTTCAGCTTCTGAAATAACCATTTTGTGAATCCCTTTTTGTTTTCTCACCACACGTCTTACTATATTTCGCTCTACTAATTTACGCCCCTTTCTTGTGCTAATTCTTGCAGTTTGGCCCTTTTGCTGGTCATCATTGCTGATGTCAGGTGATCTTGACTTAAAGTAGAGAATACCAGAAAGACATTTACTTGAGTTTTGTTAATTATACAAAGGCATTTGACTGTGGATAATAGCAAGTTATACCTAATACTGAGAAGCCTGAGAACCCCAGATCACTTCATTCTGCTCATGGGAAAGCCTCTTCATAGAACAAGATGCAGCTTTCTGAACACACAGGGAACACGGCATGGTGTAAAATCAGCAACGGTGTTTGTCGGGGCTGCAGCCTTTCTCCATACCTCTTCAGTCTTGGTGCTGAGCAAATACTTGGAGAAGCTGAACTACATGAGTAAGAATGTGGCATTGAGATTAGAGGAAGATTCATCTACGACCTGCGTTACATAGATGACACAACCTTGCTTGTGTGCAGTGAAGACATGAAGCACTGACTGAAGAAGAAGATCAAAGACTACTGCCTTCAATACGGATTACTTCTCAACATCTAGAAAACAGAAATCTTCCTACTGGATCAACAGACACCGTCATGATAGTTGAAGAAAAGATTGAAGTTGTCAATGTTTTCATTTTACTTCCACAATCAGTACCCATGGTGTCAGCAGTCAAGAAATCAAAACGAGAGTTGGGGAAATGCTGTCGGGAACCTCTTGTAGGTGCTGAAGAGCAAGGCGGTCAGTTTATAGGCTTGGGTGTGCTTGATCCAAGCCAATGCATTTTCAACTGCTTTTGTGCGACCTAATGGTAAGGAGCTGCACTGCCATCCCAGAGGCACATAGTTCGAGTCCACCAGCTGCTGTCCAGGAGAGAGATGGGCAAACTCTGCACAGTTGCCTCTGAAAATCACCTGGAAGGTCATCTCGGAGTCATTTCCAATCTTATTCAACAACCACCACAGCCACAACCTACGTACCTGCAGGTAGGAAAATGAGTAAGGAAGATCTAAGAAGAATAGATATCCTGGAGGTTGACAAGGAATGTTAAATATACCACAGACTGCCAAAATGATGAGCATTGTGGAAATGGAACCAGAGTGCTGCTTGAACATGACAGATACTGTGAGGATAGTGCAGGGTGTGGTTCAGTTATTGTTCATAAGGTTGCTTTGGGTTGTAGTCAACTTGATGGCACCAAACAACGTTTAGCTCTTTTATGTCATTTTCCTGGGTTGTTTTGTTGGAGTTGTGGGTTTTTATGTGCTTGAGAGCATGTTTGAGTCTCTTTTTACATCCAGTTTGGTCTTTACTTTTTCTTTTCCAGTCTTTCTAAATGTTGCCTGAAATCCGTGATGTCTTCCCACAACCTTTCTGTTCTACAGTCACTAATACCCATTGCATTAAATCTATTCTTGAAATTGTGTAAGTTTTGATGGGGTCATACTTGTGTTCTCTTAGACTTAGCTTGATTTTCTTCAGTTTCAACTTAGGTTTACGCATGTCAACCACTTGCTTTATCTCCATTTTATTCTGTGTTGTTGGTATGTGCAGTCAGGTTGTTTGCAACTCATAGCAACCCTATGTACAATAGCTCCAAACCCTGCTGTATCCTTTTACACCCTCATTACCCCAGTCAGGGAACCAATCCATCTCATCAGTGATCTTCCTCTCCTCTACTGTCCCTCCATCCTCTTTGCAATGTCCCTCTTCAAGGACTGGTCACACAGAACTTCAGAATCATTGCCTCCAGGGAGCAGCCAGGTTTCACCCTCTCCAGAATAAACCTATTTATTCTCCTGGCTGTCCATATTCAATAGTCTTCTCCAGCACCACAGGTCAAAGGCATCAATTCTCCTTCTATCATCCCTAGTCATTTTCCAACTTTCTGATGCATAACAAGTAATTGCAAAGACCATGGCCTGTATCAGGCATGTCTTAGTCTCCAGACTGACATCATCGCTTTTTTAGTACTCTGGAAAGGTCCTTGGCAGCAGACTTTCCCAATGCAATTCGTCTTTTGATTTTCTGGCTGCAGGTACCAAGAGTGTTTATTGTGGAACCAAGCAGTCTGAAGCTGTTAACAATCTCAATCTCTTCACATATATCTTGAGGCTGCCAATCAGCCCAGTGGTGAGAATCTTTGTGTTCTTGAGGTTGAGCTTCAATCCATATTGAAGGCTGTAGTCCTTGACCTTCTGCAGCAAATGCCTCGGGCCCTCCTCAGTTTTGGCAAGCAAGATTGTGTCACCTGCATAATGCAGATTCTTGATGATTCTTCCTCCAGTCTTGATGCCACATTTCTTCTCACAGAGCCTGTCCTCCCAAATGATCTGTTGCACATATAGGTTGAAAAACTATGGAGATAGGATGCATCCCTGGCATACACCCTTCCTGATTTTGAACTGTGCAGTGTTTCCTTGCTCTATTCTAATGACTGAGTATTCCATCCATTAAGAGTATATAGATAGTTGCTTAGAAAAAGATTTCTAATAAATCAATTGTTGTTGTTAAGTACCGTCGAGTCATAGGCGACTCATAGTGACCCTATGAACAAAAGACCTGAACGCTTGTATAACTTTCATCCTTTCTCCAGGTTCCTAGGGTTTCCAGAGGCAAGCTATTTTGGAAGTAGATGACACTCCTGCTTTCAAGCTTGTTTTTATCGAGGCGCTCCACCAAACACACTGTCCATCGTGGGTGACCATTATCACATTTGACACATTAGTGTCACAGTGTTTAGCATCACAGCAACCTTGAGTTACCTCTGTACAGCAAGTGGACAGACCAGGGCTATATGACCTAGAAGAATGTTTGAACAAAAACAATTAAAAACTGAATTTTTAATTCTACCGAATTTAAGAACCTAAGCATGGTTCAGACTCCATGAGCACGTTTATTCCAAATTCCTCCATAATCATGCATTCCCATTGGCTCTCACCCCCCAAAGGCGCCCATCTGGGAGCATTCCGCTGCTGCTTCAGTCTCCTCTCATTCTGATGCCACATGTTTCTGCTTAGAGTCTTTTACTTCTTTAATGATTTGTCCGCCATATAGACTGAGTACACGTGAGGGAAGGAGACATATGTAGACAGAAGATGAACATATAACTATCATCATTTCTCCAAGTTTTTAGACTTTGCATAGGCATGTAGTTTAGGAAGTGGATGCCAGTCCTGCTTCCAAACCGGAATCAGTCTGGGACCTTCAACAAAGCTGCCCATGATGGGTAGCCAGGCATGGTGTTTGACACAGCTGTGGCCCACTGGTCTTATATTCTGTCATTCAATCTTCAACCTAATTTCTATAACCAAGGCTGTGTGTTCTGTCTGTTGAATAACTTGATTTTCATTCACCGTAGATTGAATGTTAATAGTCATTATCTAATCTTCCTTGTTGGCTAAAGAGTATTAGCCTATCACTGACCACATAGTTCACATAGATATTCTTTTTAGTGCCTAAATAACAAGATCATTTAAAAGTTAGTTTAAGCAGATTGTTAAGGAAATAAATCATACTTGAAGTTTTTAGTAAGCTTTGTTTTGCTGTATTATTACTTATTAGACTCATTACTAGAACACTTATTTGAAATGAAAGCTTGATTTTATATCCCATTTCTGTCATTTATGTAGCAATTTCTGATTTAAAAAGGAAAAAACTGCTAAATATTATTTGACAACTCGTAAATTATTAAATCAGAATTCTAGTTGATAAAATAATCTATATTAAGCAGCATAGTTTATTTAACAATATAGAGAGTGTCAAGTGTTGCCTCCTGATGTTTTTATATTGTTTATTGCCAGTTGTCTGAGAAATTAGCCACTACTTTCATGGATTCTGTTTTTATCACATTCATTTTATATATAAAACAAAAAACCTGAAATATTTTCAGTAGTATCAATAAGTGTTGGTACACTAAAAAATATTATGAGCAATTACAAAGACATCTCATTCTTAAAATGGTTATGAAAAAGACTTAATTCTTTCCTTACCAAGGTCTTATTAACATTTTATTTCTGAAGGGTTTGCTTTTAGAGAAAATACTTCCAAAAATGTGTTGTTGTTATTGTTGTTAGGTGCCATCAAGTTGAGTATGACTCATAGCAACCCTATGAACAAAAGACCTGAACCCTGTTCTATAACTATCATTGTTTCTCTGTGTTCATAGAGTTTCCAGAGGCATGTGGTTTGGGACGTGGATACCACTCCTGCTTCCAAACCTGAATCAATCTGGAAGCTTCAGCAAACACTGTCCACAGTGGGTAACCATTATGGCGTTTGACAAACCTATGACACAGCATTCAGCATCACAACAACCCCAGCTTACTACACTGCAGCAAATAGACAGAACAGTGCTGTAGCACTTAAAAGAATGTTCATCCCCAAATCACTTACACTACACCCTAGGGCCCTACCACTTTTTTTTTTAATATTCATTTTAATGAACATTTACAGAGATTTTGGATTTTCATTCATTCATTCATTGTTGCATTTTTTCCTTTATCCCCCCTTCCCCCAGCCCTACCACTTTAAATACAAGCACACCCACCAAGTGCTGGTTGACTGTAAACCAAGAGACTTCCAGCCCATAGCTCATTGTTAGCTAAATCTGGGAAGTCCAATCAGCTAACACTCAATTGTGGACCAAAAAAAAAAAAAACCCCAACCAAACTTTCCATACCCAACCCTCAAGTCGCAAGAAACCATCTTTGGGAATCCAGCCACTTCACAGGACCCTCCAAGCTGTGGACTTAGTCCAGCACTAATGCTTTTTAAATACAGTAGCAGTCATTTAAATATGGAATTATATATTTTGGAAGAAAACTATATATATTCTTTAAAAATTGTATATGTTTTACAATGGTGGTATAAAAAAGTTTATTAAAAGTCATAATTTCATATTAAAATTGACATGTCATTTTTTTTAAAATGTGTTTTTTTGGGTGTTGTTTGTTTGTTTGTTTTTTTATTTTATTTTTGTGTGACTGTACCGTCAAATCAGATCTGACTGGTACAGGAGGAGATTGTCCCTCCTTCTCCAGCAGAACATCTGGTAGATATGAACCACGCACCTCTGGGATTGCAATTCAACTTCTTGCTACTAGACCACCAGAGCTCCCTATGTCTTTTTTTTTTCTTTTTGTATAATTTTCGTTTTCTTTTCAGATGAGTTTTCAGCCTTTAAGAAATCAAATCCTTCCATGGCTTTGGTGGTGGTCATGGGATAGCACCTGCAGGTGTAAATCTGCGTGGAGGTGTTCTGTTCTTCCGGGCTTCATGGGAGCAGTTCCACACCCCCTCGCTGTGAATGGCCCACAATAGTGTAGTTTCACGTAGAGCTTTGGAAACCCATACGCGTCAAAGACAGTCGCTTCAGAAATGCCCCAGCGGCAGCTGCCTCTACTGTATTTCTAATTACTAACTTCTTAATTGCCTTGTCTTTGGGCGCACAGTGCGTGCAGTGCCTAGGCTGCACATGACCGTGCGGCCCCTTTTGGCATGACCTTTGTTTCACCTTTTCTTTGTCATCTTGGAAGCAAGGGCCAGAGAGACAAAACTGACATTTCTTAATGGACAGATTTAGAATTACTGTGGGTCTTTTTTAAATATTGAAACATATTTTCTTTCTGTGGCCAAATGTTTGTGTTGTTGGGACTGTTGTTATGTGCCATTGAGTTGGAACTGATTCATAGCTGACATTCCAGTGTGTTTTTCAAGCGGGATAAATCACCCAAGAGGAGATTACCCTTCTTTCTCCCTCAGAGAAGCTGGTGGATTTGAACCGCTTGCCTTTGGTTTGGCAGCGCAACTCCTTAACTATTAGACCACCAGACCAGATCGTTCCCTATTTTTAAAAGCCTTCCAGGGCCACAAGCCTTATCAGAGGGAAATACTGATTTTCCCCACCCCTTCCTATGTTACTACAGGAAGCAGAGAATACTTACACTCTTACGGAAAGATTTCTTACTGTAAGAGGCGTAAAGTGCTAGAATATGCATGTTCTGTGCAAGAGGAAAATGGAATCCACTTTGAAGTGTTTTGTCAAAATTCAGTCACCAGTGTTTTTACCTGTTAACTGTGATAATTTGTGGGTCACAATAATAGTAGTTTTGGTTTGATATGATAATAATAGTATGATTACACTATTTGCAGTCACCGTAAGGAGATAGGCTGATTACTGTTACTTTGGCACTAAGCTTTCTTTTCAGGGTCTCATTAATCAAATATCTGTATCTTGCAGGTACCCCCAGCCGAGACACTTCCTCAGGTCAAAAAAGAAAAACATAGCACACAAGCTAAAAACAGAGCGAAAAGGAAACCTCCAAAAGGCATGTTTCTTTCTCAGGAGGACGTGGAGGCCGTCTCTGCCAACGCCACCGCTGCCACCACGGTGCTGCGACAACTGGACATGGAGCTGGTTTCCATCAAACGACAGGTCGGTGTGGTCAGAGGGTCAGCAAGCGTTCTGAGGGGTGTTCCTTCACATGCACAGGGCCGCTCTTACTCCTCATTCCAGAGGCCACTTTGTTTCTTACAGAATGAACCTTTACATTGAAATGAAGGTATACAAATCCTACGTGGATGTAAAAATCAGAGTGGGTAATGTACCCAGGTTACAACCATCCAGATCAGGAACTGGGATGTTGCCCCCAGGACGCCGCGGGGTGCTGCCTCGTTAGTAAGCGCCCTCCGTCTTCCCTCTTCAGAGCAGTTGTGAATTGATGGTTTATTGTTCAGTTTGCTGCTTTTGACTTCTTTGTTGATCTTGACAGTTCCCTGGGGAAGATTAAATAAAAGGCCAGCTATGATCTCAGTTGAGAAGAATGAGTCTGTGGCTTTTCTTCCTTCAGGTTTTGGAAGGCACACAATCTTAAGACCACAGAATCAGGCCAGCTGCTTCTCAGCTTGCCTGCTGGCCCAGCTGCACCCTCACTGTAAAAGGATCGGTTACTCTTCTTCACGCTCCTTGCTGTGAGGTTGGCACATGCTCAGAACTCACCCTCCAGTAGGCTCTCAGAGGCTGTAAATCACATGGGAGGAGATGCCCATCCTCTTCCCACGGAGCAGCTGGTAGAGTCGGACTGCCTGATTTGGGGTTAGCAGTGCAGCTCCTCACCCACTAGGCCTCCAGACCTGTCTCTCAAATTCCTGCCCGCACTCACAGGATCTGAACGTTGGGGTGATGAGAGCTCTGAGGGCGCTGTATGCTGCCACCCTCTATATCATCCCCATTTCTGCCTCCACTGAGTGAGTGCCTGGTGCTTATTTTGGACTGTAATATATGGAGGAAAGGAGAGGGAGTCCCTTTATCCGTGGAGTGTTCCTAGCTCTGTCGTGAGGCAGGTAAAAGTCTTCGTTGCTCAGAGCAGCATCAGGAGTGGACGTTTTGTCATTTGAAGGTTGGGGAAGGTAGGCAGTGTTTCATTCTCTTACACATGGAGTTGCTCTGTGTCCACATTGACACAGTGACCGCTAACAATGCCATTTCAGAGTCTGCTCTGACGAAGGAAGAGGGCTTAGGGTCCTCTTAGTAAGAGACTGAAGAAGGTGATTTCTTTCCTTAGCCTTTCAGGACCACAGTAGAGTAGTAAGTTCACTGTCAAGTGCTCTTCTAGACATTCTAAGGTCATGTGTGGCATCATTGGGATTTTCTTCCAGATGCCCTGCTTTTGATGACTTATCAGTTGGGAACATGCTTGCCTGAAAATAAGAACAAACCTGACTTAAGAGCCATTTGTAGCAAAAAGTAGCGAATGAAACTATTCTGCACTCTGCTGATAGAGCGGGTAACCACTTCCAGCATTCACGTTTGGGTGTGTTAACTTTGGGAAAATATAAAACTCTGTTCCACAGCTATAGAAGTCACTTTCAAGTGCTTCCTAACAGGTGGTAGCTAGGAGTTGTCATGTTGGAAAGCACAATTTTTTAGTAACCCCACCATCACACAAACTCTTACTGGGCAGTGTTGGGCTGAGAGATAGGCACTAACTTCCTGTGAGTAAATTTTGAGGACAAGTTTAAATTTTTTTCCCCCCTTGATTTTGTCACTTCCATTTCAGAATAAATGAAAACAAATTTCAGTACCTGTTTTTGTTTTACTATAGGGTAAATTTTGTGCACATTTCCTGTATTTATTTTTTCAATTGTCTTTATGCTCTAATTTGATATTTGTTTAAAAAAAAATGAGGTGTGCTGTATAGCCAGTGTATTCTGAGGAAGCCCTTTTTAATGGTAATAATGGTAAAATGAGTCTTTAGGATCCTTACGAGGCAGGGCTGCTGGTTCTGGTTTACTTGACCACAGACCCAACAGCATGAAGAATTAAAATGGGAAAGAATAGGTGAAACTGGAATTGAAGTGTAATCACTTGGGGGCAAAAATCCAACCTTGGGATTCATTGACATTGAAAAACTACAGAAAGCGTTTTAGAAAATAGCTAAGAGAAAGTATAGTATAAAAGAGGTGTTTCTTGGGCGGCGTCCCCTCCCTGTCTCCACTTCTTTCTCACTTTCCCACCTCTAAAAGGCCTGCTTTTATTCCTTTGCCTTGATAAGATTTCTTCTGTTAGGACATTTTATACTTACAGTGTCTGGTTGGGTTTTTTCCCCCCTTTTTTGTTTTGTTTTGTTTTATAATTGTTACTTGTTTGAAGGCTTACATAGCAAATCAGATTTTATTTCATGCCATTGATTCTAGTTCCCAAAAGGCAACATCACCCATCCCGCCTTCTGCCTTTATTCCTCCTGTCGTTTCTGTTCCTCCTTCCTTCCTTCCCTTCTTGGTTTCTGAACTTTGCCCTTGGCTAAATGCCACTTTGATCTTGAGTCATTGTGTGCCATGGAGTTGGAATCAACTCGTAGCTGACACTCCAGTGCGTTTTCATGGGCAGTAAATTACAGGAGATTTCTCATTCTCCTATGGAGCAGCTGTTGGATTCAAACTGCGTACCTTTAGGATTGCAGCACAACTCTGTTGCGCTAGGCCACGAGGAGCTCCTTTTGCTCTTTAGTACTTAATTGTTCTAAGGAGTAGTACCTTCTTAGTGCTATTGTTATAGCATCCGGATCAGCAAGGAGTCTGTACCCTGCCCTGTCCTGTGCCATACTCATCGTCTTTGATACACTTGAGCCCATTGTTAGAGTCAGTCCATCTCATTGAAATTGTTCCCCTTTTTCTGACCCTCCACCTTTCCAAGCATGATGTCTTTTCCCAAGGACTAGCCCTTCCTTACCACTTACCCAAAGTATGTGACATGAAATTTCACCTTCCTTGCCTTCCAAGAGCACCCTGGGTTGCACTTTTTCCAAGATATATTTGTTTATTCTTTTGACTGTCTAGGGGGTATTCTAAACTCTTCTCTAACACCGTAACTCAAGAGCATCAATTTCTTCTGATATCTTCACCCATTGTCCAACTTTCAGATGCATAACAAAAAAATGTTAAAGACTATGGCTTGAATCAGGTGCACCTTAGTCTTTAACCTGCTATCATTACTCCTTAACACCTTGGAGAAGTTTTTGACAGATTTCTCTTAATGTCATATATCGGCCCAGTAGTGAGAATCTCAATCTCAGTGTCTCTCTCTCTCCAGCTCACCCTAGTATACCCCTTGTTACAGATTGTTCTCACACATATAATCCATTATCATATAACCCTTTCAGACACTTCTTCCCCTCATCTATTCTAATGAAATGTTCATTATTTATCTACTCTTACCCCATTCCCTTCCCAACCTTCCCATGTCTTTCCTATTTTATAACAATGATGTTATGCAGTATTTATCCTTTTGTGACTGAGATAATTCACTTAGCATAATGTCTTCCAGGCTTTTCCATGTTGTGTAATGTTTTAAGAGTTCATTGGTTTTTCGATGCTGTGTATTATTCCTTTGTATGGGTGTACCATAGGGTTTTTTTATCCACTTATTTGTTGATGGGCAATTGGATTGCTTCCATCTCTTTGCTGTTGTGAATGATGCAGCAATAAACACGGGTGTGCATACATCACCTAGAGTTGTCATGCCAAGTCCAGAATAAGAGCTGCATACTAAAGGGATGAGGGCGGGGGTGGAGGTGGGGATGAATGTATAACAATGAAAGAATCCCCCCCCCCCAGAAAAAAAGAGAAAAGCGAACTGGTGGGAAAGGAGGGGCAGGGAGGAAAATGTACAACAGTAAATGAATGGAAACCCATATTCTCTATAAACTTACAATTAAAATCTCAACTAAAAAAAGAAAAAACAAACAAAAAAAGTCAGCTTGAGTTGTGGTTCTGGTCTCTTTAGGGTATATACCCGGTAGTGGAATTGCTGGGTCAAATGGTATTTCTGTTTCCAACTTTTTGAGAAAACGCCAGACTAGCTTCCATCATGGTTGTACCATTTTACACTCCCATCAGCAGTGAATAAGAGTTCCAGTTTCTCCACAACCTCAGCAGCATTTGTTGTTTGCTGCCCTTTTGAACTTTGCTGTTGTTGTAGGGTGAGGTGATATCTCATAGTTGTTTTGATTTGCATCTCTCTGATAACTCAGGATTTTAAACAGTTCTTCATGTGTGTGTTTGCCATCTGAATGTTGTTGAGGTTTTTTTAAATTTTAAGATACAGCTCTTTATTTAATATGGTCAAAGTTGTTTTACTGTATGGATTCTGCAGACTTAAAAATTTCAGAAGTAGTTACACTACTAAATTCTGGCCTATTATTTCCTTTCTACTTTACTGTTGTTTATCTTTTTTTCCCCCGTTCTCTGCCTACCTGGCCCATGTACTTGTCAGATTATTGTCTTGCTCCAGGGATATTAGGTTTGCTTCTCTCTTCTAAGAATCCTCTTCTGGTAATGAGGGACTTTTTTATGTGGATGATTGTTTTTTTCCCCGCAGGGTGAAATTTTTATTCTGTTTCTTCTTTGCTGAAGAGTCTATTTGTATCCTGTGCCCATTTTGTGATTGGGTTGTTTACCTTTTTCTTGTTGAGGTGCTGGAGTATTCTATAAATTTTAGGTATAAGTCCCTTATCAGACATGTCATTGCCAAATATTTTGTCCCAGTCTGTGTGTTTCCTTCTTACCCTGTTGGGGAAGTTTTTTGATGTGCATAGGAGTTTGATTCTTAGATGGTCCCATTGATCTGTTTTATTCTCTGCTGGTTGTAGGTAAGAATTTTTGTCGTCTTGATGTTGAGGTGTAATCCATTTTGAAGGCTGTCGTCTTTGTTCTTCTGTAGCAAGTCTTTCAAATCCTCCTCACTTTCAGCAAGCAAGTTGTGTCATCTGCATAATGCAGGCCGCTGATGAGCCTTCCTCTGATCCTGATGCCACGTTCTCCTTCATAAGGTCCAACGTCTTGAATAATTTGCTCGCATTATAGACTCACTATTGTTTGGCTTAAAATTGATTCACAGAGTGAATTTAGTTCCAAATTTGAAGGGTATCTGTTAAGCCTTTGGACTAATTATTCCATGTATCTTTGACTTTCCTCACCTTTCATGTTTGACTTGAGAAAAAGCATGCAGTTTCTCCTTCCCTGTTTCCTTGTGTGCTTATTCAGAGGTGAAGATGACAGATTCTAGGTTAGGATCAGAGTCCTTCCAGTCCATCACTCAGCAGTGCCCCTCTGCTTAGAGCCAGGGTAAAGGGACCCACTTCAGAATCAGCTCATTCCTAAGCCCGCAATTAAGAGGGAAGAACCCACAGCTGTGGGTGTGTGAGTGGGTGGGGCTTATGTCTGTCTTTTGATTAGGCCGGTAAGAGCTTAGAGGCTTTGCGTCATGGCACTAATGTAGGAAAGAGCATTTGTGAGGAAATGAAAATAGTTACAGTTGATCTTCAGTCAGAGTTGAAGGAAGATTGTTGGCAAGCAGCTTTCTTTTAGCTAAGTCTCCCCACAGGCAACGCTGCAGGATGGCACACTGCTTGGGGCTCAGTGAGACCAGCCTTTGGTTCTGCTACAAACCTCTATGTCCACGGAAGCCGCAGGCCCCTTCTGCCATCCTAGCTGCTCTGACACTCCAGCTCTCTAGTGTTGGAAGCCCAGCTATGACAGCTCCACTCACTGGGTGTCAGATTCCAGGCCTGTGGCTACTCCAGGAGCAGTGGGCCAGGACTCGGTGCAAGGAAACGTCCCTGGCACTCCCTCCTTCCTCACTGCCCCTCTTCTGTTTGCTATCACTATGCCAATTAAGGAATTGAGTATAGACTCTCAAAAAATATGTCCGTTTGCAGTGAGTCAATTCCAACTCTAGTCTTCTCTATTAAGTTTGTAAATCTTTCTAGGAGGAGACTGCCCTTTTCCAACTGTGGAACAGCTGTTGAACTAAAATCAGTGACTTTAATTAGCAGTACAAAATACTGTGCCACTACAGTGCCTTTAAAAGAAAATAACATAAAGCTAAATCTACCCAGGATGGCATGGATTGCTTTTAATGGTAGAGATCAATTGAAATGTTATAAAAAAAATCTACTCATCATACACTGTGTATTCTTATCTCAAAAATAGAAAAAAAGATAGAAACCATCAATATTCATATGTCGTTGTTGTTGTGTTGATTGCCTTCAAGTCAAACATGACTCATAATGAGCCTATGAACAAAAGGTCTGAAACCCCTCTACAATTACTTATTCTGAAACCCCTCTACAATTACTTATGGTGCCCATTTTTCTTTCATATTAGTCATTTGATTTATAGTTTATTTGGTATATCTTAGTTTTATTTTACACTTATCTGATCACTAAAGGTATTTAATAATCATATGAAAAGGTATTAAACACCTTTAGTGATCAGATAAGTGTATCAGATATGCCAATAAACTATAAATCAAATGACTAATATGACTAATGAAAAAAAGGAAACCATAGGTAACAGGGTCATCAGGATAAAGGGGCAACATTACAAATTAGGGTATCATGAATGAAATGTAGAGCAAGTCAAGGAAAATTATTCTTAATAAAGTTTAAAATGTGCTAAAAAAAAGAAAAACCCAACAACTTTGAAATCTTGACTTTTATGTGATAAAGTCTAGATTTCTTTGTTAGGGTTTTTTAATTTTCTTGCTTTTTAAGGTTTTCTCACTTTTAAAAGAAAACTTTTTCCCTTCTTTCTTAGATTCAGAATATTAAACAGACAAACAGTGCTCTTAAAGAAAAGCTTGATGGTGGAATAGAACCCTATCGACTTCCAGAGGTAAGATCATGCTAGCTAGCATTGTGTCAGGAGTCATAGCCAGGTTTTGTGTCTTTAAGAATTGGTTCTGTGTCATACATCTCCAGAAACCTGTCTTAGAAAGAAGGGTGCATAGCTTATAAAGCTAGTTGATGTTAACATTCTGATAAGAGAAAACCCTCATAAGAGCAGTGCATCTCCACTGCAATCCCAGGGGTACGTGGTTCTAATCCACCAGATGCTCTGCTGGAGAAGGAGGGACAATCTCCTCCTGTACCAGTCAGATCTGATTTGACGGTACACACACACAAAATGATAATAATAATAAAAGAACAGTGCATCTCTAAATGTAATGTGCTAATATGAGCTGTCTGGCCCTCTAGGTCATTCAGAAATTTAACGCACGTTGGACCACAGAAGAGCAACTTCTTGCCGTACAAGGTACGAGGAGAGTTCACTTTAGATCAGCAGCAGTGGTAAACATTAGGGCAGTGTGATGCCCTTCCCTGCTCTTAGCACACGGTTTGTATTGAAACAGATTCCTGCAGGACTGTGGCCTTCTCGTAGACATTTCAGCCAAATTCCCACGTCCCTTTTGGACTGCTTTGCTTTTTCATGGCTCACACACTCTGGAAATTAACACTGGAACCTTAGTCATTGAGTTGTTTTCAACCCATAATGACCCTGCAGGACAGGACTCTCCGGGGGGCGTCCACGGCTGGAAATCTTACAGGATTAGACCACCACATCTTTCTTCTGTCAAGTGACTGACTGGTGGGTTCAACCACCAACTTTTTATTAGCTAAGAGCTTTTAACCCTTGTACCCTCTGGGTTTGAGTAAGTTAAGAGTATATTTTAAAAATAAATAAATAAAGAGTATATTTCATTTTAGCAGGGTATTTGTTCTGCTTTGAATAGTGAGCAAGAACAAAGCCTTGACAGAAGCAGACATGAAATATGAGATCCTACCGTTGGATCTGTCTGGACGTGGGAGCCTGGGAAGAGAGGGCCGAGTCTGCACAGCTGTAGGGTGATTATCAGTGGCTTCACTTGTCCGTGGCCGCTGATGGGAAGCCATCCATCTCTGAATGACGGGTTCCTACTGAACTTCCCTTGATCAGTCATCTGTCTAGAATAACCACGTGCTCCTTTGTACTCGTGTAATAGACTAAGGTGTTACCTGCTGTTAAAAATCTTTGTGAATGTTTTGTATTTTAATAGGTAAGAGGTAAATTTCAATTGTGGTTTTTAAATATTTTTCTTTTTTATTGAAAAATGATCCTTAGCCATCAGGAAATATGGCCGAGATTTTCAGGCGATCTCAGATGTCATTGGGAACAAATCAGTGGTACAAGTGAAAAACTTTTTTGTAAATTATCGACGCCGCTTCAACATAGATGAAGTTTTACAAGAATGGGAAGCAGAGCATGGCAAAGAAGAAACCAATGGGCCCAGTAACCAGAAACCTGTGAAGTCCCCAGACAATTCTATTAAAATGCCCGAAGAGGAAGACGAGGTAAATCTGAAACACCTTTTCTCAGCCAGGCTCCTGTCACTACCCCAGTTTGTTTCTAAATTGATGATATTTTCAGTGCTAAAAATGTTAAGTTTAGCTATCTCTTTCAGTTTGACTTCTACCTATAAATCCTATGCTGTATATCTTGACACTAGTCAGTTCTTGGTCACAGATCTGTTAGCTGAATTTTATTTCTAAGTAAATTTTTTATCTCATTTTTGTTTTCTCTAGTGACACAATATTCCATGTCCTCAGTGTCTCCCTGAATACAATATAATCTTTACCAGAAGTGGTAACAAGGTGGGCAGTGGATGTGGTTAGGTGCCATTGGGCTGGCCCTGCCTCTTAGCACCCCTGTGTGCACAGAACAGAGCATTGCCCAGCCAGCCCTGCCCCATCCTCACAGCCAGTGTAGTCAAGGTGCCCACTCTTGCAGCTGTCGGTCTAACTTATTGAAGGTCATCCTCTTTCACAGTGGATTGGCCCTCTGATAAACATGTCCAAAACATGTGACAAAAAACAAATATCATGAAAACTGTCATGTCACATCCATGTCTGTGCCTTAAGCTGACTGGAGCTTTTGGGTCCATCCCATCTCCACCTCCTTGCCTTTGAGTGTTTTTCAATACAAAGTAGCTTTACTAATCATGGAGATAGTGTTGGGTCCTACAATTGGCTGGAACTTCCAGGATAGTGACTGACATTCTAGTAATCTCCGGGATCGTGTCCAATGTCATCAGCCAAGATTAGGCATGAAGATTACTGAAGCAGCAGGGACCCATCTGCTACCTCCGGGCTTCCTGTGACAGGGTTGTCTGCCATGCTGGCATCTAGCCAGGCCTTCCCTGTCACATGCCACCACCAACCTTGCTTCCCAGGGGACATGAGAATGGAGGCTGAGCCAAGGCAGGAGTTACTCACCAATCACTTTGCTCCATATTATGCTCTCCAGTTAAGTGCTCACTCATACTTTGTGGAAGAGGCATGCTCCCCAGACCAGACAGGAATAATGTGATTCACTGGCCTGGATGCAGGGGCCCTATTTGTTTTCAGAGCCCCTCCCACCTGAGCATAGGAATGCCCTGTGAGGATGACCATGTCCCTGTTCGTGCATTGCCTTTGTGTCAATTTATAAGGACCTGGAAGCACTATACTTCTATCTGTCAGGAAAGTGTAGAAATGGATTCATTTTTGCTTGCTTGGACTCATTAGAGCCATCTACCAGGATAGCTTTGTAATAAGTGTGCAGAATCCATACAATCGACACTGTGAATGGTGCCCCTGCTGCCAGTCCTCCCTCCCGCCCCCTGCCCTATACTGCCTTAGCCTGAGAACAGAGAACACAAGGCAAAGCAAATGTGTTCTCAGGTCAGTTCATTCCTAATGCACTCAGATGTATCGGTTCCATTTTTCTTCCTTTATTACCAGTTCAGAATTTCATTCTTATTGTTGAGGCCCACTTACCAGATGATGACCTTCAAAATACCCATATAATATTCTTTGCTTGCCTTTAGGAGTGTTGTAGGGTCACTAGTGGCATGGACCATGGGAAGTTGCAATGCTGACCTAAATAAAGGTGGTGCCTCTCTGGTGGTTCAAATCCACCAGCCGCTCCACAGGAGAAAGATGCACAGTCTGCCCCTGTGCAGTTTTCTGCATTGGAAAACTCACTGACAGGGCAGCTGAGTCTGTTCCAACTCCAGAGCAATGCCCAGCAGGCAGCAGGTCTTAGTTCTCAGCTACCTTCTCTTCCCAAAGAACATATAAGCGTTGTCAAGCTTACCTTATTCTGTGTTGTCCAGTAAAAACTGACACATAGCTGACCCTGTGGTGGGTTTTCAGAGGCAGTAAATTACATGGGAATTTACAAGGCAAAGTATTATAGTGAAATGTGCAAAGAGCAGGAGTCCAAAAATAAAAAGGGACAAACTTCACTTGGCGTTTGTTAAGCTGAAGGAACTGAAGAACAAATTCAAGCCTTGAGTTGCAATACTTAAAGGATGCTATAGACAGAATATTGAATGATACAGGAAGCATCAAAAGAAGATGGAAGGAGTATATACAGAGTCAGTGTACAAAAAGAATTGGCTGATGCAGAAGAAGTTCATAAAAAAACTTACATTCAAGAGACAGTGTTGATGATGAAGGAAGGTCAAGCTGCTCTGGAGGAACTGGCAAAAAACGAAGCTATAGGAATTGATGGAATACCAGGTGACATATTTCAATATACACATGCAGCCCTAGAAGTGACCACCAGGCTGTGCCAAGACATCTGGAGACAGCCACCTGGCCAACTGACTAGAAGAGATCCGTTTATTCCCATTCCATAAAAGATGATGTAACATAGTATGGAAATTTTCAAACAATATCACTTGTATTACACACAAGCAAAAGCATCATCAGAAAACAACTGGAACAATAAGTATATTGACAGAGAACTGCCAGATATACAAGCCAGGTTTAGACGAGGCCGTGGCACTAAGGACATCACCACCAATGTCAAATGGATCTTGGCCAAAAGAAGAGTACCAGAGGAATATCTTACCTGTATTTCAGTGACTATGAAGAGGCATTTGACTGTGGATCACAACAAATTGTGGCTTACCTTGAGGAACATGGATATCCCATAACACTTGATTGTGCTCATATGAAAGCTGTACTTGGACCAAGAGGCAATTGCCAGAACAGAGCAAAGAAACACTGGATGGTTCAAAATCAGAAAAAGAGTGCATCAAAGATGTGTCCTATCACCATACCTTTTCAGTCTGTATGCAGAACTGATCATTCAAAAGGCTGGACTTTATGAGGAGGAATGTGGTACCAGGATTGGAGACTTACCAACAATGGGCTCTATGTAAATGATACAACTTTCCTTGCTGAAAGTGAGAAAGGCCTGAAGCATTTGCTGCAGAAGTCAAGAACTATAGTCTGCAATATGAATTGAAGCACAACATCAATTAAAAGATTCACCACTGGGCCAGTTGACAGCACCATGATAGATGGAGAAGAGACTGAGATTGTTAAAAGCTTCAGCTTGCTTGGTTCCACAATCCATACACTTGGTACCAGCAGACAGGAAATCAAAAGATAAATTGCACTGGGGAAAAATATGCTGTCAGAGGCCTCTCCAGAGTACTGAAGAGCAATGATGTCTAGAAACTAAGGTGTGCTTGATTCAGGCCGTGACTTAACAGTTATTTGCGATCTGGAGGACCTGGCCCCATCACCTGGATGCCCCAGCCTCAAGCCTGGAGGATGACTCACTGCGACCCCTCTGAACTGCACCAGTGATGTAACTATCACAGGTGAACCCATTTCATTTCCTTTCCACCTCCCAAAGCTCAAGCTGCCTTTAGCCTGAGGCACCTTGGACTGGCCTAGCTGCAGCATTTGTCTCACAGAGGAGGCTGCTAATTCACAGGCCATGTCTCTCCTGAATTCAAACAAGTCTTCCCTTGAGCTAAAAATTCAGAGGAAAAACTCAGACTGGGTAGCTGACCTGCCCTCCTCTGAAACAGTAACAGCAGACCAAAAATCTGCTGTTGCCTCAGGTGTGAAAAAATACTACCACAGCAGTGTCCTAGGAAAAGCAAGCTATCTCGCACCCTACACAAACCTAAAACAAGATGTCACTCTCAAGTGACGCAGTATCGATGGATTTCCTGAAGCCAAAACATCTGATGGAACTTTCTGACACAGAATTTACAAAAACAATGACTGAATTTTTTTTTACATTTTTTTTTTACTGAATATTTTCAGTGGGTGAAAGACAAACTTCAAGAATTACAGGACAGTATAGGCAAAAACAAAAACAAAAAATATCCAAAACAATGCAGATAAAACAAACGAGGCATTGAAGGCTCTGGAAATAACAAGAAACCACAATCCAAAATATGAGGACCAATGTTTCAGATGCTGTCAATATGTTGGAGGGACATACTCAAAGAGTTGAAGAGATAGAACACAGAACCAGTGAAATAGAAGATAGCATTGTCACCACTGATCTGCTAGAACAAAAAGCAGAATCAAAAGGGAAGGAAAAAGAAAAATGCCTAAGAATAATGTGGGACACCATGAAGAGAAATAACATGTGCAAAATTGGAATCCCAGAACAGGAAAAAGTAAATAAAGGCACCAAGAAAGTTGTGGAAAAATTACTAGAAGAAAACGTTCCAGGCATAATGAAGAATGAGAGAATATGTATTCAAACTGAGTGGACACCATATAGAATACACCCCAAAAGAAAAACACCAAGGCATATATATCATAGTCAACTTAGCCAGAACCAAAGATAAGGAGAAAATTCTGAAAGCAGCTGGGTAGAAACAAAGAGTAACCTACCTATGAGGGAGAACAAATAAGATTAAATGCCAATTTCTCAGCAGAAACCACACAAGCAAGAAGACAGTGGAATGACATGTATCGATCGTGCAAAGAACACAGCTGTCAACCAAGTACTATACCCAGCAAAACTGTACATCAGTTATTAAGAAATCAAGATATTCTCAGAAAAGCAGAACTTAAGGGAGTTTGTAAAAATAAGACTAGTGTTGAAAGAAACACTAGGAGACATCCTTAGAGAGGTGCCACAGAAAGCAGGATGGATCAGAGTAACCAGCAAGAGTACCAAAAAGAACTCAACAAAATGATAGCAATAAAGCCTTGCCTTTCAATAATCACACTGAATGAGAATGGTTTAAAGGCACCGCTGAAGAAAAAAAGAGGAGTACATTGTATAAAAAAAAAAAACAAAGCCCATCAATATGCTGTCTATAACAGATGCACCTGAAAAGTGAAGATTAAAAAAAAAAAGACAAAAGGGGGGAGGGGAATAATATCAAGCAAATGGCAACCAAAAAAAGAAAAAACAGGACTAGTGGTATTAAGCTCATAAAATAGATTTCAGTGTAAAAAATCACAAAGGACAAGGAAGGTCACTACATGCTTAAAGGGTCAATAGAACAAGAAGACGTGACAATAATAAATACCTATATATCAAATGATAGCGCTGCAAAATATACAAAACAAAACTGAAAAAGGACATAGACAACACCATTATAATAGGAGACTTCAACACACCACTCTCAAGAAAAGATAGAACTACCAGAAGTAAACTCAGATGCTGAAGAATTAAACCACACAATAAACCAATTTGATCTCATAGATACATATAGGCTAATGCACCGCAGAAAAGCACAGTATACCTTCTTCTCCAATGTGGAATGTTCTCCAGAATAGATCACATTTTAGGTCACAAGGCTAGCATCAATAAATTAAGAAACATAGAAATAAAACAAAGCATTTTCTCAGACTACAGTGCTACAAAATTAGAAATTAATAAGAGGATAAAGGAGAAAAAAAAACCATACATTTGGAAGAAGAACACCACCTTGCTTGAACATGAGTCAGCAATAGAAGAAATAAAAAATAAAATTAAAAAAATGTCTTCATATAAA